AAGTAAGTTATGAAGCGAAGGGATTGGTATGAAGCGGCCGTGATCCGTTCTTTCGCCATTTCCCCACTATACAGCGCCCTACTAGCATTTTAGGCTAAGTAGGAAACCATCGTGCCAACTGCCTTTAATGCCCCCTCAAGCCGAACTGCGCCTGTTACTGTGACATGATGAGATAATTCTTGCTATCGTACCGGCCCATTCCCATACAATAAACATACAAAGCTCCATGAATCTTGCTAACCCTTCTTAATCTCAAGTAGCAACTATAAATTTGTATGCTAAACAATGGTGGCTGGAAATGAGCAGTACATGCTGGAAAGGATAAAGGGGTGGCGGTTAAAGAAAGTTCTCGCGAGAACTGGTCCGCAGAATTCTCCCCGTGCATTTGGCATCATTGTCCGCATTCGCAGAGAATGTACCACTTTCGTCACTCGAAACGGCGAGATAAAGAAGCTAGAGACGCGTGATTATTGCAACCATTGCAACCACGATTACTTTCACTCTGCAAGACAACAGCTTACAATGGGAGGTGTATGCATAGTTGCTTGGAGCGTCGCAGGGGCAATTTCCTACGCTCTTGCGGGAATGGTTGCACGTCGAGTCTTGCTGATTGCGCTGTCCGACGTCCGACAAATTCTTCCAAGGCGTCAGCCCCACTTTTAAGGAGGGTTCTGTTCAAGATGTTCTCAGGATTTTTTTGCTCTTTCTATACAGAGGAGCTACCTGTGGGCTGCTGGTTCATGACTGAGCACCTGAAAGCCGTGACACTTGATCACGGTACTTGTCTTCACAACTGTGAACCAAGAGGGAGGCAACTTCGGGATGGGTGAATGTTAAAGGAACGTTCATCTATCTGAGTGTTTTCTCCCTATGGGCTCGAAGAACCCGTGGACCGCCTGGGTTCACGATCGTTTTTGCTCCTTCCAGCATTGAGTCATTCAACCTTTTGAAAAATTGAAATTGAGGACATGCTGTGGAAATGAAGCCCACCTTTTCGCAGCTCTTCAGAAAATTACAGTTCTTTGGAAAATCATTGCAAGATCAAAGATGTTTCTCACCATATTAACGAGCCCCTAGTGTGGCTCACATTTTCGACTACTGGCCCCTGCTGTGATTTCGAAACCTCTCATTCTACTTTCGCTCAGAGTACAGTCTTGTTCTATCCAGATTCTGAGACGTGTCTGGGGATTCCACTCTTAGTAGTACATAGAAACATGGTGCATTAAAAGAAGCTGAATAGATTATTGTGATGATACACTTATTTTGGCTGCAGACGCTTAGCGTGTCAGGGGGGGGGGCTGAGTTTGGCGGGGCACCGGCCCTACTTACGCTAACTGTTGTCGCTTACGCGCTTTAACAATTGGTGAAAAAAGGCTGGTGCCGTATCGAGCTCAGTTCCTTACACGCCCCGACGTCCGCAGATAACGAGACTGCAGCTTTCTTTCCGTATACTGTATTAATGTGGAGCTTTGATGTTTCAGTGGAACCCGTAAAGGATATCCTGGTCTGGTGATTTTTGACGTGAATTTCAAATGTTTTGCCGGTGAGATCCCACTGCACGCTCAAGGTATGTATTAAGTGCTGATTGTTTTCGGTGAGAAATCTATGTCTTTTCATCTCCTTGAAATTTTGCTTTGTTTCAGGAACGATGAAATTCCTTTTCGCGTTGAAATGTCCATCGCCTCAGGGTGGTTCTGCATTTGTGCTTGTGACTGAAGAACAGATCTACGGACAGATTCGTGTAAGTGATTGTAACTGTTCCTCCATTTGCTAATGGTTTTCTTTTCCTTCTCTTTTTTATCTTTCACCTACTATTACCTTTTGGTAAACATTACTCTTTGGGAATCCGACCGGATTTTGATCTGACCGTTTCTTTTGTATAAACTTGGCTTGAACTGTTTGGGAAGTTTCAGCTGATTTGGTCTTCGGGGTAGTTTGACCACCTGAATACGAGTATAAACTCTGCTTTGCTCGAAATCGCTTTGCGTCCGTGCTACAGGCTGCGGAAATACCTCGGATCACAAAATTTGTTGGTGGTTTATCTCCAGGAAGGGTCATGCTGAGCTCGTCATCATGACTACCATACTAGTTCGATGCTGAAACGCTTGGTACATGGTTTACGTGCAAAACGTAGTGCGTGGGCGCCCACATCCTGTTAGTAGCGCCCACGCCCGTGATGCGGATTCCAGGCTTTCTCGTTTGCAGGTGCAGATTCGCGCGCAGACTACCTTGGGGAGTGAATCTTGTCCAAAACTACTTCAGGAGAAACGTATCAATCAAAATATGGCTCTGAGTTCCGTAGAGTGCGGTAGCAAAGGCTAAACAGCCCCTACTTTGTTCTGCAAGGATTGTTTGTTTCTAACGTGGTAGCCTTCACTCTTGCAGCTTCATGTATTCCGTCTCGATCTTGCGGGAGATGGTCTATCTGTTTCAAATTGTCGTCCTCTTCTCGATAACCCGCTTTCGATCGGTGGAGAATATATCTGTTCAATGCGCGAAGATGCTCCTGAAATTGTTGTCATGGCAAATCCAGGATTACAGGTTTGTAAGGTCTCCACTTAATTGCTTGCTTATTGGACTTCTGTCTTGTGCGTTATTTATTAGACCATTATTCTATGGCTTTCACAATTATTGAAGACTATCATTTTGATGGAATTGCATTTACATTTAGCATTTTTCCAGGTGTGGCGCATTAACGCTATGGCCGATTCACCACAGCCACCAACTGCGAACTTCACAGTGCAAGGTGCCGATCTTACACATTTCTATGATGGTTTCCTCAGCAATGGGTAAGCATCTTTGAAAGAATACTGGCTAGAACTATGTTTTCTCATTTTTTCAATTTTTGTGGAGAAAAGTTGCCACTGGGTTTATGTCGTTTGGTGCGATTACTTTACCGCTGGCACGTCATATGTCAGGCAAACCGTCTTCCAGGGCGGGCAGCTCGTCTAGAACTTAAAACTGGTTCGTTTCGTCAGGTGGTTAGTTGGAGATGATTTGGTTGAGAAGCATGAGCACCGAAGCTAACACTCTGTGACTGGCTTTGTGCAGAAGTGTAGTCCTCATCATTGCGGACCGGTGGGGCGTGTCAGCCAGTATGAGTGTGCACACTGTTGAAGCCGTTCTCAGCCTTTTTGTTGAAACGCGTATGCGACAAAAAGTGGTAGAAAACGAGTAATACGAAGGATATAATACAGTAATGTCACTTGCCCGCTTCAACAACTGGTGCAGAACGACTTTGGCCCCGCGCCAAACGCAGCTGCACTGAACCGTATTCCACGAAGGAAAACTTGTCCGAGACCTCATATCAGTGCATTTCCCTCCGTGATCATTGACTAATGACCTGGTTGATAAGCGTGAGCTGAGCCAGCAATCACGGCTGCGAGGTGGTGTCAGTGGTAATTTAAATGCAGTGAGAACAATTGCTGGCAGCGGGTGGTAGTCGCAACGCCATTGGTGGAAAGGCTGAGTGAGGTGTGGCCAAACGCCTTTTGGAGCCGTTCTACCAATTGCCATGACGAGCGCTGGCCTCCAGCAGTCCTGCCCCCTGCCTCTAATAATTACGGAATCCCTGACGGTAGGCGTGGATGCGTATTTGAGTCGAACTTGGCGATGGACCAAGGTTTTTGTGAAATATTTTCATTTTGGAACAGTTGTTACCATGTCTTTGTACTACACTGCACAAAATGACAGTTGCCACAATTTGAAGCATCCTACAAACAACCCATCCTATTCCACGTTCACATGCCACTCCCACTCCGTCTCAGCGTCACGAATTGTAAGTGGTGCGGACGACTTATCCAACTTGGTAGACGCTTGCCTTACTTGTCGTGACACGTGATCGTTAACGTATTTGCACCAAACGATCACCTCTCGCAGCCAGACATTAAGAAAACTCTAATCTCAAAGTACTCTGTCTAATAATATTCTCACAAGTTTCCAGATCTGTACATTTGCTGTCGTCTTCACCTGATGGTCATCTGGATCATTCTCGTATTCACGTGCTTAATTTGAATAAGCCCGACATTGTACGTTCGCTAATAAGATTCTGAGCGCTATTAACCTTGGAGGGGGCATTCAAAGGTTGGCCGGTGCGCAACTGAGATTACTGCAGTAGGGACGAAGACTACTGCCCAAGGCTGGAGGGGAAAAGGTCATGGTTAGGTCTACCGATTTCAGTACAGTAGTTCAGCGCTTGTGAGGATGGTCCCACACTAGCAGTCCTTTGAAGGCTCCCCTCAAGCTTATTAGCGCCATCTGTTGCTTTTTTTACCATCATGCCATGGTTTCTCTCTACTGTTTGCAGATCACAACTCATCAATGCACTCCTGACCCTCAACGTGGAATGCCAATGCCAAGGAAGAATTGTGGTATCGACGGCGTTGCGAGTAGGTTTTTACTTTTTCTCCAATCTATTGTTACTTGTCACGTGAAAGTGATAAGTCGGATGAAAACCCGAAGACAAAGGTCTACTGAAGTACTGAGCAGACAAAGGCCTGGTCTTTTTACCTGCTTCACAAACCGTTGTGATAGGTTTGATGTGATTCATTTGAGCTGACTCATTTACATGCCAGCAATACCTCAAGAACAATATAACTATCCGAAGCAGTAACAAAGTAGGACTTTTGCCGAATTTTGATTATTTAGATGCCATTTTGTTGGCTGGCGGAGAAATCGATCATGGGAATTACAATGTTCAACGTCTTGTCGATTACTGGATGTTAGACACGAGAACATTCCAGTGGTTACAAATTCCAGCACAGATGCCAGCGCCACTCATTGAGCCAAGACTTACCGCTTGCAATTCAGGTTTGTTCATGACTTTTGTTTTCACAAGAATGCTGAGCTATGGGCAAAAGTCTTGAATCCGGGCGGAACTGGAACCCCCACCTCACTCTTTCCGGAAGAGTGCGCTATCCCGGAAAGCGAAGGAGCCACCTCTTATCCTCTCAGCCTGACGGCCTTTGTGTCAGTGGCAATTTTCTGGCGTCCAGTGCTTGTATTTCGAGGCAGTGGTGACTCCCGAAGGTTCAGGATTGCCTCTTCAAGGCATCGTTACTAGTTTCTTGACGCAGTAATTTTTATCCTATGTGAACTGTGCCTCTCCAAAGTTCTAATGGACAGACTTCAAGGCAAAAGTCGCGATAAATTGACAAGGCATGTAGGATAATACGCGGAGCAGAACAGAATTCGGCGCTCCTGAGCAAAGCCTTTTTTCTAGCGAAGGTACCGTTACAACGACCGATCAAGCTGCAACATGCCGGCCCGACGGAAACTCGTCCAAAAATGCTTGTCCAGTGCTGTGCAGAGTGGCTATTTGGCAGAACTTTGACCGTTTCACTTCGCTTTTTCGCCATTTTCCCCACTATATGGCACCCCTGCTATCATTTTTACCCGAGATCATGCGTTATTCCTTGAATATATAACGCGCCGCACTGAGCACTGGAAGTGGCGGGGAAAACCTACACAAACAGTGTGCACTGCTTACTTATCGATTAGTGATGACTGTGAACGGAACTCTTAGGATACCTTACCCCTCAAATTCGATAATTCCGTTTGAGTTGCCTTTTCCAAATTTTTTCGCCGTTCTATAATTACCAGTAACGATACTGTTCCAGGAAACATCTACTTGTGGGGCGATTTCGATCAGCCATTGCCAGGAATGCCGGCTGGTGGCACTCATCTACGCATCATGAAGGTCTCCGGTATGGATAAAGCCGGCCACCCTCCATCCTATTCTCAGACCATTTCGCAGCCACCGGCCTATCCTTCACTGGAACCGTCACCATACCCTCAACCAGGTTCTGCTGCACCTCCGTATCCTGCATACAATCCTGCGCAATCCAATCCGGGATACGGTATGCCGTCTCCTCAGAATCCGGTGCAGCCAAGTCCAGGTTACGGTATGCCGTCTCCTCAGAATCCGGTGCAGCCAAGTCCAGGTTACGGTATGCCGCAGAGTCAGCAGTATGGAGGAGATGGTGGCTATGGAGGAGGTTATGGTGACCAGGCGACATCTGGTTTCCAGCAAGTGCCAGCAGGACCAAACCAAACAGCCTACTATCCACCTCAAAAACCTAAGAAGGATTGTTCCCTTCAGTAATCGAATTCTTCCTATGCCTTTTCTTATTGTACATGTACAGAAATAATTAAGCTACCTTTTCGCTACCAATACAGCCAAACTTTTAATAAGGCCAATCAATACGCACAAATTTTGCTTTCTGCTTATTGTGCTTGTTTCTGTAAATCTCAGTGTAATTCATAATCTCTGTACTTGTGTATATTTCATGATTGTAATTTTTTTTCCGTATTAACCGGCACTTATTCTTAGCCAAGGGTTTTAGAGGTTGGAGTATTTCTGAGGTCGCTACATTCTGTCAACGTTGTGTATTTCCCAGATTTTTTCCGCTTAGCCTTTTGATATTTATTCAATAAAGAATTCTTTATGCATTGGCGCTCGCATGCAAAATGTTCACGAAAGACTATTTTGTTAGAACGCTTCTGAAAGTGTTCCAGTTTCAGCCATCGCTTGGGCTTTAGCCTGTCTCCTCTCTAGCCTTAGAACTAGTGTGATTCCTCGGGTTTTGGCCATGAGATCCACATTGCGGAGAGCGCGGGGTAGTGCTGCTGCATGGGCGTGTCTTAGTTTCTGCGAGTAAACCTTTTGGCCTACAAGCGACTCCCGCTATGGCTATAGTAGCCGAAGAAAACAAAAGTGAGGCTATTGTAATAGATGGATAGAAACAAGGGTTAAGCGCGGGTCAAGGAGTTGTGTCGTGCCCAACCCGGTCATAGGAGGGAGAGGGAGGGTGTTGCATGTGCGGAGGTCAGTAGTGAACAAGGTGCAGCAGCTGTATGGGTGAAATGGCTGTGTCCAAACGATCTAGCCCCATTTCCTCCTGTGGCAGACGCCTACTGACCCTTGCAACCTATTTACACCCCCTTCTCAAAATTTCGCCGAGCGAGAAGAGGTTGCAGACATCTTCGACCACCTACCAGAAGTCGTTTGCCGAGTTGCCAGCTAGGGGTTGGGAGGGGAGGGGAGGAGGATGCGATAGCGCAGCAGAAAACAGCAACCGCAAAATGTCCAAGACAGATGGTGCTCGCTCCTATATGCGAGGTGCGAAGTGACGCACCAGTGAATAAAACAGCAAAAAAACTAAAAAGGAATGCTCCAAGTAAGACGCAATCGGTCGTCCCACCCGCGGACGCTCCCACCAGTGGCTGTTCACTTATTGAATCGATACTACTCGATCACTATTGGTCGAGCAAGACAACCAGAGGCGGGCTCATTTTTCCCTGCTCACGCCGATCCCGACTGGTCGCCTTGCTCTCTTAATAATTGCACCTTATTACCAAGCTGCGGCAGGGCGCAAAAATCACTCACTGAAGAAGAGCTTTGAATGAAGGCACTTGAATCGGTCGTGCTTTTTCAAGAGAACTTCTGCTACAATATAGAACACGGAAAATAATGACTTTTATTGTTCTTCACTACCGAGAACCAATCAGCTGGTGAGGAGCGTTATTTCCGGCAATCATCCTCGACCGCAAAGTACGTCCTCGCGCGCTGTGAATAACTCACCTCATTTTGCTTACAGGCTTCGACAAGCCGCGATTGCATATGCCGGGCAGTGGCGTTAAGTTGCGGACCAAGAGTCGCTATATCTTCAGGGGAAAAAAACAGGAAAAATCCTTGAAAACATCCTAAAAAGGACCTCTTGCAGTCTCACTGTACAAGCTCTCCAGACAGCAAGGCGTCTTGCTGGCTGTGGCTCGCTAATCGTTTCGCCGTGTCATGCAATGTTAATACATCCCAACGTGAAAAAAGGGTTTTAGGAACGGAACTAGTGACAGAAAATAGCCTTCCAGCCGGCTTGTGCAAAACAGTGATTTGGTGAACACGCTATCCAGCAAGTTGCTGTTGCTCATCAGTACGAGCACGGTCAGCAAAACTGGACACGCAGTTTGGAACTTATGCCAGCCGTTCCACCAAAAGTAACTACGGTGCCATTTGACTTCGTAGGAGCATTTCGTAGACTCGCGCGAACTCCTATATGGCAAAGGAGCAGCCATTTTTTTTGAAGCCATTTTTGCTCAAGTTTGGTTCACTCACCTCCCGCTGAGCTGAGGTGAAGATCTTCATCCCTTTGCTTACAACCCTTTCTTTGGTAAGACCCCTGCAAGAATCTTGTCCGCTTCAGAACAAAAAAGTAAGGAGAAATGACGTATAAGTAAATTTCACACCATATTGTAGTTTCACAGAGCTTACACGTGTACACATAATGACGTGGGAAGAGTGAAAGGCCTCCACAAAGAGTAGACATCGTCTCAATCAGTGGAGGAGTATGAGGAAAGGTGGAATGAGCTCAAACTCTGCTGCCTTTTCTATCAATAATGGTTGTTTGGGGCAGAAAACAACCAGTAGAGAAGATGCCGCGTATTGTTTCCTTCCATGCCGCTTGACACAATCCCGACTAGTTGAGACGATATCAGCTGTAAGTTTGTGATTCCAAATTAGACCGCTGCAGCAGCTACCGTGGAAGCTACCGATACTCGGAGAAAACGCTCATAGAGATCGGTGATGATCATGTCTGTAGAGATGAAAAAAGCGAATGAAACAGTCAAGAAACAGGGATCTCTATTGTTCTTGTTAATTGTTTTGTCACAGTGATCGATGACTTGAAATAGTACCCCTTAAAGACAGTCCCCGCGCTCGAGTAGTACATGGTCGTCCTTCCTTGTGCAAGTAGTACAGCCCCCAAGCTAGAGACTGTCCCACTCTATTCGTCTGCACAGCGAGCGAGAAGCGAGCTACAGCCGCTGTAAGTTCTAGTTCTAACGCCTGCTCAGTTGGACCGCCTTACTTGCTAGATGTCCTCCGACGGAGGCCACTCAGTTGTTCTTAGTCGGGGCGGCGGGCATTGCTAATGCCCATGGATAATTCTGCTCCCCTTTATTACAGTTTACTCATTGGAGGTATATACATTCAATTCAACTCATTTCGCGAGGTGAAACGCGTAAAAAGCACGAGTGACGCAATTTTCGTGATGCAAAACCTCGACGCACAAAACGTGCGCTACCGTAATCCCAAATTCAGACACCGCGTTGATAAAATTCCTTTTTCCTTCCAAGAGTTTTTCCTCTGCGTTTTTGTTGTTTTCTTTTTGTATTCTTTTTTTTGCACTGGATGATATCAACTACTGCGAGATGTGATAGAGAGATTTGTGAGCTAGGGGTTGCACAGAGACCGCAGGGAGGTGTGACTGTGAGGGAGCGATTTTGTTTATGTTGTTCTGGAGGACGCTTCTTGCCTGTTTTCTTCTTTGGGAGATTACTTATCAGCTACTGTTTCATAATTGGAAAGCAGCTATCCATGAGACTTTTATCGCGGGAGCTGTCTTTAAAGGCAGAACCCGTGGCTATTCGCCATCTCAGCTAGTGGATTCGGGGGTTCCATATAGAAGACAAGGGGTTGAGCAACTCCACAGTGAAGGAAAAAGCACAAAAAGCATGTCACTTGCCTTAGATAGAACCCTATTTTGAACCCAGTTTGTACTTATCCAATTAACTCTATCTCCCACACTATGCCCTCATACGCACAGCTGATTCACCGACAAGAGCTCTACGATTGTACAAGTGACGATTTTCATGCTTTTTCGTCCTGCAATCTCATTTTTCACTGAAAGCCGGGCATTGGGGGCGGAGTCTGGAGGCGGAGTCACTGGAAAAAAGGAGGAACCACTGAACCTATATTGCGCTATAGCGCCCCTTCAGAATTTTTTGCCGCGAAACCGGTACAAGGTTGTTCGTCGCGGACCACTCTAACCTCCTGACGCCATATGCAACTTCGATACCTGATCGCGGAGCGTGCCTTTAATTACGGTATCCGTCATAAAACTAGTGCTGCAGTAGTTTTTGCTTTACATTATAACATTTCAGGCCGAAAGCTATGAAATAATAACCTAAGCCACCTGAAACCAACTAAAATACTTGAATTACTGATTTCTACTGACGATAGTGTGGAGGCGAGACATTTCTGAATCATTCTTCTTGATAAAGAAGCCGGGAGTCATTCTCAAGGGTCTTATTCTGTAGCAGTCTCTGGGCTCCGTGGGCTTGAGTTATCACGGCAGCTGCCAGCGGGGCACGCCATCGCGTTGTGATAAATTTCTGCTAAATACGCCTCCCCCCCCCCCTCCCCTTCCCCGTTGTGACGTTCTTGTGACATCTTCCGAGCAAAATGAAAAACCCTACCCCTCTGACACAATAGCACTTCCAGTTCGTTTGAAGACTTTGGCATGCTTCTAGAACACATATTTCCGCCAAGGGTATCAGGAAATAGTTCATTCGGCACCGATTGGCATCACTCTGCAATGCGCCATGCATAGGGCTTCCACGCAGAGGTGTTGGGAAGGTGCAACTTCTAGATAGGGCTTCCTCCATGCAAGCAGATGTGCTCTCGCGATCAGAGAGGTGCGGGCTCGCAGGTTACTTCTATCTCCAGGTGTCTCTTCAGGTGTTTTTCTCAATAACTATTTCATCATTGAAGCTGTACGACATCTGAGTAACGCTGCATTCTCCATTTCAGGAAGGGCCCTATGCTCACACCACCACCCCCCCCCCCCCCTTGCTAACACATACGTCCCCCCTGGTGTGATTATCACAGCGATGGCGTGCCCTGGCTGCCAATGAAGATGTTTGTTCTATAGGCGGGACTATAGCGCTAGAAGTACTGAGACTATTTTTTACACTGTTTTGTTATATCCGTCTATTCCAACAGCAGACGTGCAATTCAGATTGCTATATGGTCCACTGCTTTTATCGCATTGCCTTAACCGTCGCCAAATGTGGACATTAAAGCTTTACGGCTTTATTTGATCAATAACTCGTACTGCATTGCTTTCTTGAAAGCTCACAATTACCATTGGCTGTCATTGAATGCTCATAAATGCGCAGGAGAATAATCGCCACCTTTTGTCTATTCACTTTCGTCTGAGTTTGAGCGGGGATGAATGAGTGATGACCGTTTCCATCTTGTCGAAGTCCATTTCACCTTTCCACTTCTACGATAATGTTTATTGAAAGTTGTCATTCTTGGGGTCA